GGTGGCGTTTTACATATAAACAATACTGTGCATGGAGTTGAAAGCACGAAGATAATAACAAACTAATGTAAGTACAGTATTTAATATTTTACATCGTTAATTCAATAGTTGAATGGAAATTCTGTCATCATACTATGTTTATTTTTTAAAAGTCTGTCAGGTATTGAAGACATTGGCAATTTCCCTCGACAGAGACTTGCACTGACATGGCTGCTTTCTATTCAACAACATTCCAAGTGACTCGCTAAAATCATCAAAGACCTGAAACCGGCTAAAGAAAGGCAGAGGCTATCGGCACTGCAGCAGTAAGAAAAAAAAGCTATTGTTTTCTATCGGCACTACTTTCACAGTCGAAAAGCTGCTGTTTGATTAATCAAAATGGATGTTTTGATCGAAAGATGACATTATTGTATCAATACCGTAATTAATTAGGTCTAAAATAATAATAATAATAATAATAATAATAATAATAATAATAATAATAATAATAATTTCATTTCATTTCATTTCATTATTTATTTGGTCATTTACAACAACAACAACAAAAATAAAGCTGAAATTTGGGGAGACCAGGGACAACCAGAGTGAACCAATTCACTGTAGCAAAGCCGGTTTACAAACAAAAAATACTTCAATAACCATGTCGTATATGGCCTTAACAGCAGTGAATAGGTAGATGCAAGCAACAGATGCAACATAATCGATTATTATTATTATTATTGTTATATTTTTAATAAATATAATAAATTCATAAATTCATCATTATTACTTTTTATTGTTAAATTATTGTTATTAAAATAGTATTGCTGTTTAATTGTGCATATTGTTAGGTATAGGCTGACGTTACTACAGTAACTCATATTACAAGAACAATTGTTATACAGTATTTGTTTATTTACATTTTTGTAAAATTTGAATGATGATACAGACAGATAATTATTAAATAAAAAGTTGATTGACACTTGAATTTCATGTTGATTTTTTAATGTTGCCTGTAGCCTATGATAGTGTGGTGTGATGACTGTTAATTACAGTACAGCATAATAATGGTTACAAAACAATTTAAACAATATAGAAATACCAATATCCTCTGATTCCCTTCAGAGACTGGGAATATTTGTTTTTTAAAAAAAGCCACAGGTCTTAATGCCAACATTTCTTTCTTGTATTTAATTGCATTGTACATGATAAGCCTACTGTACATAGAAATACTGTGCTTTTTAGTAAAAATCTTGTAGTTTAGGGGTGTGGCATCTCGCCCTCCTACTCCGCCATCACTTTTTGTCATTATTACTTAGTCAAGATTTTTATCATATTACTTAATGATGATTAACAATCTTGCTTATTTAACAACAATAGCAACATTGTAATACATTATAGTATAATTATAAATATAATACTAAGACTAATGATAATATTAATGATAATAATAATAATAATAAGGTAATAGCAATGATAAAATTAATATACAAATATTACAATAATAATAAAGTAATAATAATAATAATTATTATTATTATTATATTAATAATAAAAAGGATGGTAATAGATGTAACTTTATGCCAAAAATGGTGTCTGTTCATAACAAATATAATACATATAAATATATATTATAGTAACAATATTAAATGTTCATGTTGTTGACAACGATGATGATGATGATGATTACGATGATTTGTCGACTTCTTTTTTTGTAAGATGGAGAATGCGTGAAAGGGAGATTCTTTCTGATGTCCATGTTTGTTGCGCATAGCAATGAATGTCATGTTATTCAAAACAACGGCGTTTCAGTAGAGGTGCTACCTGTGCCAAATCTATTTTGCAATCATGAGGAAGCTGACACAAGGATGATACTGCACAGTGTGTGTGCAGCAAAGTCAAACAGTCGCATTGTTGTCAATAGCCCAGATACAGATTTGTTTTTAAATTTTGACATTTTATGCCTATTTACTGTAATAAGAATGAGAAAATGTTGAATTTTGAAGAACTCAAAGGTAGCCATGGATAAACTTGGTGACTGCCACCGCAAACAACTCCGTGCTATCACAGGTCACCAATGGTCACACAGCCTCATTTCAAATGATCTTTATACAGCATGTGCAAAATTACCCCATGTCAACTAAAGTGGCCCAATTGTGGTGGTCCATGTGTGGACATGTGCTACGAATGCCAGAGGACACACCTGCACAAAGAGCTCCAGAATTTGCTGTAGTTGGATCCAACAAGTACCAAGCTCGCAAAGGGCGTCATTGTACAAACTCACTCAGTACGCTGCGAGCAGACCTCAAGGAGGCAAAGATGGGAACTCTCAGAACGAGCAAGAAACTTGGGGAGCTAAGGATGCTCGCAAGTGACAAGAGAAAATGGCCTAAAATGAAGAAGGACTGATTGCAGCTGTAGGAAGTTTCTACTACTACAGAAGCAGTATCCAGTATTTAATAATAATAATAATAGTTATTAAAAGACACCGAAAAAGTCAGGTAAACTCATTTCCCCCCATCTAGGAATCAAAGTTTTCCTGGACCCCCTTCCATTTTGTGGGTTTGGAAACATTCTGACCCCTCCCCTAAAATTGAACCCAGATCCACCCCTGTGTTTTGCTTTATTATCAATTGTCTCACAGAAGT